GAGAGGGGACAGGGCTCACATGACTGAACAACGGAAGCACAGCAGAATTTACCCACGCTGCTGCTTCTGTAATTAGGAAATAAGTGCCTACTTACCTAGGAGGAAAATAAGGATTCTTCTTCAGAAAACTAAACCACAACAACCTCCAGACACTGATACTTGGAGGTTGCTCCAAGGAAAATGCCAGCCTATCAAAGAATATTTAAGTGAAGTCCACCAGGAGACAAGCAATCAGCTCTTTAGTGTCTCACAAAAGCAGAAAGAATTGTTATGTCCAAAGGTAAAATGCTAAAAAAAAAAATAATAAGAAAAAGTTCTTGGGAAATAAATGTCATAATAGTAGAAACAAAGAATTCAGTAGAAAGAATTGAAAATAAAGCTGAGGAAATCTCTCAGAAAACAGAATAGAAAATTAGAAAAGCAATCCAAGAGTCTTCCATTCAACCGAATAGAGATCAGCAAATTTTTTCTGCAAAGGATCGGACAGTAAATAGTTTAGGCTTTGCCGGGCATATGGTCTCTTGATGCAAGCATTCAATTCTGCTGTTGTAGTATGAAAGCAGCCAAAGACAGCACATAAACAAACGGGGCCCAGAGCAGGCAAGATATGGCCTGTGAGCTATAGTTTGCTGACCCTTGCAGTAAAAGGACATTTTAAAAAGACAGGACAAGAGAAAACACAGAGGAATAAATAATCAATAAGTAAGAAAAATTCCCAGGGGCTTCCTTGGTGGTCAGTGGTTAAGAATCCATCTGCCAATGGAGGGAACACAGGTTTAACCCCTGATCCAGGAAGACCACACATGCTGTGGGACAGCGAAGCCCAGCACCACAAATGCCGAACCTGCAGTCCAGAGCCCACAGGCCGCAATGGCTGCAGCCCGCACGCCCGAGAGCCCGCGCTCCAAAGCAGAGACGCCGCTGCAACGAGAGGCCGACACCGGGCAACGAGAGTAGCCCGGCTTACCACAGCCAGGGAAAGTCCCAGAGCAGCAATGATGACCCAGGGCAGTCAGCAACAAGGAAATAATTTTTAAAAAACATATTTTACAAAAAGGAAAGAAAAATTCACAGAACTAAAATCATGAGTTTTTAAATTGAAAGGGTCCAACACAAAGCACATCACATTATCAAATTTCAGAACACCAGGATAGAGAGATCACTAAGGTTCTCAAAGAGGAAAACAACTTGGTCCTATACAAAGAATGGGAAACTAGATGATAGTTACTTTTTAAGAGCAACACTAAATTAGAAAGCCTTCAAAATTGAAAGAGAATTCTATACCTACTGAAATTAGCAATCACACATGAGGGGAGAATAAAGGTATTTATCAGACACATAATAAATTAAAGTTTTACCTCTAAGGCACCCTTATTTGAGAGCTATTGAAAGATATATTCCAGCAGAACAATGGAATAAGCCAAAAATGAGGAAGACATGATATCCAGAAAAAACAGGAACCAACACAGGAACAACTGAGGGAAGTCCCAGAACAAGAGCTATGCAACAAACCTAGAAAATGAGCTCAGGCTGGAAATGGCAGAACAGTTTCAGGAGACAGCCTTTAGGATAGAGAATTGAAGTGACATATTTGAGCATATAAAAAATATTGACAGCACTGTGGCAGAGATGTGGAGCATTTTTTAAAAATTAACTAAAACTATACAAAAAAATAGGAAATATTTTTAAATGAAAAGATTATTAACTCCAAAAGAAGTAAAAAGACAGTTAACAGCATACTTAACAGTAAAAAGGAGAAAGTATTTCCTCTAAGGTCAGGAACAAGATAAGAACGTCTACTCTTTGCACTTTTATTTAACATAGTATTGGAAGTCCTAGCCACAGCAATTAGATGAGAAAAAGAAATAAAAGGAATCCAAACTGAAGAGAAAGAGTAAAACTGTCACTGTTTGCAGGTGACATGATCCTTGGAAAACCCTAAACATATCATCAGCAAACTACTACAGCTCAACGAATTCAGTAAATTTGGAGAACGCAAAATTAATATACAGAAATCTGTTGCATTTCTATATACTAACAACCAAGTAATCAGAAAGAGAAATTAAGTAAACAATCCGTTCACCACTGCATCAAAAAGAATAAAATATCTAGGAATAAACCTACTTCAACATTCAGAAAACTAGGATCATGGCATCTGGTCCCATCACTTCATGGCAGATAGATGGGGAAACAGTGGAAACAGTGTCTCACTTTATTTTTCTGGGCTCCAAAATCACTGCAGATGGTGACTGCAGCCATGAAATTAAAAGACGCTTACTCCTTGGAAGGAAAGTTATGACCAACCTAGACAGCATATTAAAAAGCAGAGACATTACTTTGCCAACAAAGGTCCATATAGTCAAGGTTATGGTTTTTCCAGTGGTCATGTATGGATGTGAGAGTTGGACTATAAAGAAAGCTGAGAACCGAAGAACTGATGCTTTTGAACTGTGGTGTTGGAGAAGACTCTTGAGAGTCCCTTGGACAGAAAGGAGATCCACCCAGTCCATCATAAAGGAGATCAGTCCTGGGTGTTCATTGGAAGGACTGATGTTGAAGCTGAAACTCCAATACTTTGGCCACCTCATGGGAAGAGTTGACTCATTGGAAAAGACCCTGATGCTGGGAAAGATTGAGGGCAGGAAGAGAAGGGGATGACAGAGGATGAGATGGTTGGATGGCATCATCAACTTGATGGACATGGGTTTGGGTAGACTCTGAGAACTGGTGATAGACAGGGAGGCCTGGCATGCTGTGGTTCATGGGGTTGCAAAGAGTCAGACACGACTGAGCAACTGAACTAAACTGAACTGATGGAGGTAAAGACCTGTACCTGGAAAACTATAAAACACTAATGAAAAAAATGAAGATGACACAAACAAACGGAAATATATGCCATGTATATGGATTGGAAGAGCTAATATTGTTAAAATGACCATACTGCCCAAAGCAATGTATAGATTCAATGCAAACCCTACCAATACGCCAAGGGCATTTTTCACAGCACTAGAACAAATAATTTTAAAATTTGTGTGGAAACAAAAAAGATCCTGAATAGTGAGAACAATCATGAGAAAGAACAGAGCTGGAGGAATCATGCTCCCTGACTTCTGACCACACTACAAAGCTATAGGAATCAAAACAGCACAGTACTGGCACAAAAACAGACACACAGGTAAGTGGAGCAGAATAGAGAGCTGAGAAACAAAGCTACCTACTCATGGTCAGTAAATCCACAACAAAAGAGGCTATGAAAATGTATGATGGAAAACAGCAGTCTCTTCAGCAGGTGGTGCTGGGACAGTCACATGTAAAAGAATGCAATTAGAAAATTCTCTAAAACAATACACAAAAATAAACTCAAAATGGATTAAAAACCTAAATGTAAGACAAGAAACCATAAAGCTTCCAGAAGAAAACACAGGCAGAACACTCTGACATAAATCTTAGCAATATTTCTTTTGGATCTGTCTCCTAAAGAAAAGGAAATAGAAGCAAAAATAAACAAATGGGACCTAATCGAACTTAAAAGCTTCTGCACAGCAAAGAAACCACTGGCAAAACAAAAAGACCACAGACTGGATGGGAGAGAGTGTATGCTGATAATGTGAGCAACAGGGGTTTATACCAAAATATATGAACAACTCATGTAACTCAACAGCAAAAACACCAAAAACCTAACTAAAAATGTGCAGAAGACCTAAGAAGACTCACAGATATAGAGAACAGATTGATGACTACCATTAAGGACAGGGAAAGGAGGTGGGGCAAGACAGAGTTAGGCAACTAAGAGATACAAACTATTACGTAGAAAACAGATAAGCTACAAGGATAAATATATTCTTGTACAATACAGGGAAGATAGCCAATATTTTATAATAACTATAAATGGAATATAACCTTTAAAATTGTGAATCACTGTTATATACATATAATTTATATAATACTGTATATAAACTATATCTCAATTAAAAATAAACACTAAACACATTCTAAAAGTCATTAGAGTAAAACCAACATTTTAAAGAAAACAAAGCAAAAGTCTGTACTGTTTATCACTATTTGGCTTAGCAAGAAACAATGTCTTTATAATCAAAACAATGAGATATTAATCACTAATTTAACCAAAAATTATAATAATATAATTATGGGGGAAGGAAATAGGAGAGTACGGTGGAAAGCTAGATCTGCACCTCGTATAGCAAGAAGTGGAGAGACTATGTCTAAACCTGATTAAGAAATAACAGTCTACACATGATATTTAGGAACAAAGAGCTAAATACCAGGGAACATGGCCAAAAGGATTAAGAGTAGTTTCTTAAAAGAAGGACCTGGAGATGTAGAAGGGTAGGTGCTATGTCTTTTTACGTGGCTCTTAACTATGTAATTATAAGAATTTCAAAAATTAATTTAAAATAATTAACATTTATCAAAAAGCCAATAACTGGTAAATAATATTTGCAACACTATATTACTGCATCAGTCTTATAAAAAGAAGATCAATTATTTAAAATTATAAGGAACTCTCACAGAAGACAACAACATAATATATGCAAGGGATATGAACAGACAATTCATTAAAAAAAAATTTACTATCCAAGGTACATATAAAAAGTTTCACCTTTCAAAGCAATGAAAGAAAAAATCCAGATTAAAACAACAAAGCAGCATTATTTTTACCTACTAATTAGCAATAATCTGAGGAATGAGTAGTATTAAAGTTGTAAAATGGATTCACAGTGAAAGTGTAAGTTAATATATCATTTCTGGAGAAAATTTTGGTAATATTAATCAAAACCTTAAAAATATGACTGACATCTGATTCAATAATTCCTGCTAAAAATGCATCTTTAAGGAGAATAGTTACAAATACAATAAAGGGATTCAGCTACAAGGGTATGTATTTTAGCAAAATTTCCTTAAGACTGTCTTTTTCAAAAAAAAAAAAAAAAGACTGTCTTTTTCATACTGATTTACCTGAAACAATAAAATAGCCTTACCTGAACTGTACGTCCTGCATTGATATGCTCTTCATGCAACTTGTCCCATATTCTGCACCTCTGATACTGTACGAAAGAAAAGGAAAGGTACTGAATTTTTTTTTATCACTAAGTGATTATTCCCAGTTTACCACAACAATCCCCACTCACCCACCCATATTTAAACATGCCAGCTAAAAAAGTTACTGACTTAGTGGTGGAAATTAACTGTCCAAAGACCATACAGGTAGGAAAGTTTTCAAAAACATTACACACAAAATTCTGGCAAACAGTAAAACAAATAAAAACCACTGAATACTATTTACTTCCTTTTACTGAAAAAGAGTATGTATTTTGTCTATAATGCATACTCCTTGGAGGTGACAAAAATAAAGATTGAGAATATAAAAGAATGTGAAAAATGAAAAATTAACAGCATTCATCAGATATTTTACTATACATGAAGATTCCATGTCTGTTAATGATAGAGTCAACTACTGAAAACTAAAATCGCATCTGAGAAAAAGGAGCACTGCTATCACAGACAGAAAGTAGGTAAAAATGAGAGTGAACATTTTATATTTTTAGCTTTTTACCTAGATAATGTTTAGTTCTCAGAGTTTCATCTAAGAAACTTAATGAGCATAATGCAAAATTTTTCATTTGACAAGAACCATAGCAAAATGTGGTAACATCATGACAATATTTGCACAAAATATAAACAATGTCAAACATCACATATTATTTTTGGTTGAAATAAAAAAATCCAAATAATTAAGATGTCAGTAGATGTGAATAATGACATTAAACATATTTGTGGTATACCACCCACACACACACACATACACACACACACAAAACCAACCTAGAAATATTCTAAAAGCACATAAACATGAAAATGTCCCATATATACATAGAAGGCCTAGTAGATTAAAACAGCAGAGCACTAAAATTTTTTTCCAGGGTATTTTTATATTCTCTATTGTTCACAGCGCAGCAAAATAAAACTCTTGATAACTCCTGACTTTTTTTTAACATCATCTAAGAACTAAACAATAGCCATTAAGCTTAAAAATAACTAGACTATATTGAAAATGTATTTGCCAAACATAAACTTAAAACCACTACCCAATCAAATAAATTCAAAATTTACTACTTTCACTTCTAATAAAAATTGAATGATGCCAGCAGATTCAATATAAATGCTCTTTTAGATAGTGTTATATTAATAAAAAGAAGGGAATGGAAACGAAAAATACACATCTGAAAACAAGTCACTTTAAAATTTATTAATACTAATCTGTCATGATATTTTTAATAAAAATTAATGTTAAGGAAACAGAGAATCCAGAGAAGTCAGGGCTGCAAGAATTCATGGAGCAGAGCATCAGAGGAGAAAAAGCTGCCTGTGAGGCTGTAACTGCATTAACAGAGAGCTCCAGGATCCGCAGGGTTCTGCGTTAGAGTCTCCAGCCGAGGACAGAGCAGCACAAGCACATGAGGAAACCACCTGAAGTCAGCACAGGAATCACTTGTAAAAGACCAGGCAGGCTCATCCCCCCAAATCACACAAGCCCAGAAACTGTTCATGTGACCACCAGGCAGAGCAGGAAAATCTCGCAACATACTGGAACTGGGCAGAGTACTCCAAAGTACTATACTGTGCAAGGGAAAGTTAGGCCTAGAATAAAGGCTGTTCTGAGCCTCTGCAAGCTTAAAAGAGCCTCAAAAGGATCAAACTGTTCCTAAATAATTTAAATGTGTCTCAGAATAAATAAAGTTCAAAAGTATTCAAAGAAATTTTGTAATATTCAATATCCAACAAATTCAGAATGTTTGGCACACAATAAAACAATCACCATGCATGCCAAAAAAAAAAGGCAGGAAAATATGATCTGTAATAAGAAAAACCAATCAACAGAAACAGATTTACATATGATAGAGATAATGGAATTAATAGACAAGGATATTAAAAGTTATGATGTATTCCATGTTTAAGAAAGCTGAAGAAAACTGAAGATACAGAGATATGAAAGATATTTTTTAAAATTCCTAAAATTAAAAAGGTAGCTGAAATGAAAAATGCAATGGATGGACTGAACAGAAGGTTAAGACATTCAAAGAAAAGATTAGTAAATTTAAAGATGTAAAACAGAAACCATCCAAAATGAAACAGAAATAAAAGATGGTCAATAAGTGAATATAGTATCAATACTCAAAGGCCAGTTGAAAGAAACATTGTAAGTATGCAGTTGAACTCCCTGAAGGAGAGAAAAAATATGTGAAACTTAATGAGACAGTGGCTGAGATGGTGGAGTAAGAAGACCCTGAGCTCACCTCCTTCCACAGGTGCACCAAAATTACAGCTATTTTCAGAGCAAGTATGGACGAGAACAACTTAAACACCACCAGAAGAGATTTTCCACAACTAAAGATCTAAAGAATGAACCATATAGTTTATGGACAAAAGAGACAAACTTTCAGTCATAAGATATATAAGTACTAGAGAGATAATGTATAACATGATTAAGATAATTACCACTGCTGTATGTTACATACAAAAGTTGTTAAACAGAAAGTAGATTCTAATCTATTTTTTTTCCTTTTATTTTGTATCTGTATGAGACAATGGACATTCACTATTTCTTTTTTTTTTCATTTATTTTTATTAGTTGGAGGCTAATTAATTTACAACATTGCAGTGGTTTCTGTCATACATTGAAATGAATTAGCCATGTATTTACATGTATTCCCCATCCCGGTCCCCCTCCCACCTCCCTCTCCACCCGATCTCTATGGGTCTTCCCAGTGCACCAGGCCCGAGCACTTGTCTCATGCATCCAACCTGGGCTGGTGATCTGTTTCACCCTAGATAATACACATGTTTTGATGCTGTTCTTTCGAAACATCCCACCCTCGCCTTCTCCCACAGAGTCCAAAAGTCCGTTCTATACATCTGAGTCTCTTTTTCTGTTTTGCATGTAGGGTTATCATTACCATCTTTCTAAAGTCCATATATATGTGTTAGTATACTGTAATGGTCTTTATCTTTCTGGCTTACTTCGCTCTGTATAATGGGCTCCAGTTTCATCCATCTCATTAGAACTGATTCAAATGAATTCTTTTTAATGGCTGAGTAATATTCCATG